TAATTAAATAATACATATACTTGAGTTATTGTTAAAGTATTTAACTAATCCTTAACAATAGGTATATGTATGAATATAAACAAGATACCACCTTTGGATTTTTTTTTCTAAGAATAAAATATATTTTTCACTGGGATAGTGATGAAGGACAACTAAAAGAAACTTCATATTCACTCTATTTTGGACTGCATTCCACTTTGATTAATATTAAAAATCTGTTAAAACAATTAATGCAATACATAAAATGTGAGTTTGTATTTAATTATTTTTTTTCTAGAAAAGATTAATATATAGAATGACAAAAAAACCCTTTAAGATAAAGGTTTTATTATAAATGTTTCTTTAAATGGTACTTAAGCATTGATCATAATCCTTGCAGTTGACAACACAACAAAATATGCCTAGAAATTTTATAAAAATAGAAAAAAAAATCCCGGTGAATTGTTTCAAAAAAGTGTTTAAATCTTTTATAGATAGTTTTTTTAAAATTTTATTCTTGTTATTCTAACCGCAGCATATAGTTTAAAAGGATACAATATTGATGATATTAATTTATTGAATTTGTGTCTTTTTTTTCCATAATATTTAAAGATAACCAATTTATAGTAAAATTTTTAACATGTTTTTATAGCAGGGTATGATATTAGACAAGGTCACTATATTGCTAGCAAAGAAAAACACATGATTTCAATATATTAAGTACATGTACTCCTGTTCATACACACAAGTGATAGAGCTAACGATATCTTGAGAAAGAATATTTGACCAGTGACCACTTAGTGAAGCCGATGAAGCGATAATTGTCTCAGTGTTTAAGATTTCAGCATTGGCTATACATAAACAAACTATACGGCTCTGTTTCATCTAAACACATTAATTCTTTGACACACTAGATTATTCCTTTGAGCCTCGTTAATTGTGTTCTGCTCTACTCTAAAACCATCAAAATTAACAGTCCTGAGTATCTAGTGAAGCACGGATGATTTTTTGATTGAACTAGGTGAAACACAGCTATTGTTCTCTTTATCAGATCAATTAATGTTTGATTTAAAAAAAGGCAAAAAAGACACTGACTTGTCATATAAAATGTACCAGGTCTGTCCAAAACTTTAATTCAAAATAGAGTGTACGTCTCTTATCAATACTGTATAGTTAATACATGGACATGTTAAATCATGCCAGTTTACAAATTAAAAAATATACCCGGTAATACAAATTAAAAACACTACATAAATATGTATATTTTGCATATTTTTAGAAAGTATATAGGATAATTTCAGTGGCAAGGGGGGGGGGGGTTATTTTTAAAGAGGCAACTTCTCAATCAAAGTTTCCTGTGTTAGGAAGCCAAAAAAATTAGTATGGGCATGGACTCCACGCATCCCCACTCCCTCTCCCCCCCCCAAAATAAATTAATTGAGATAAGTAAATGATGAATGATAAAAAAAATAACAAAATACAGTAAAACACGATTTTTGCCAACACACTTATGTTGAATTGAGTTACAGCGAAGTGCTTTTATTCCGTGACTTAATTTTGTATTTTTATCTTCATAACGAATTTCGCTCATAATAATGCAAAATCATCCGTCGATCCCTGGCACTGCTTTTAAACATGTTTAACTTGTATTCAACATAATTAATCTTTTTCCTGCCATGTACAGCATTTGATAACATATATTATATAGGAATTCATAGAATTTCTAATTTTCCCAACTAATAATGAAAATTATGACTACTTACTTGATTTGTTTAGGACACTTTAATCATTTCTCTGAAATGTTGTTGCAAGTGGTGTCATGAGGGTATTCATTTTCTTTTACATTGAAATCCAGGGCATATCATTTTATCTAAAATTAAAGTAAATTTCTCATTTTAAATTTCTGGTATTTGGAAGTGTCTGACAGCTAAAAGTTCAGCACTGAGCAGGATTGATCAAATCTGACTAAGTTATTGAAAAAATATTTTAATTTAGTTTTTATGCAAACAATGCATACAAAGAATTTTCATAAATTGATATTATTTGCATATATACCTGGATAAATCCTTAACTGTGAAGAACTGCAACATCCTGTTTTATTCAACACTCTTTCAATGTGATGAGCATCTTCTGAATTGAAATCGTGAATATTTTGGTAGGGTTGAGAGATGGATGTGTCCAAGACTGATAACACACCCAAGATTATCAGTTTGCAGTGTTTTGATTGACATTTCTTCAGTTAGTGGCACCACATGTTTCCATTCAAATGTGTATGGAAGGGTCGCAGTTGCACATGTGAACAGTTATCATCTAAATTCAACTGTCGTTTGAAGGGGAATTCGAAATTGGAGAAATTAGACATTGATATATATCTGTGTGTTATACTGTGATAAAGTTATATAATTAGTTTTGGTCTAAAACTTGAGGTGCGTGATGAAGCAAGTAGAGACACATGCATGATTTTCAAATGTCAATGGATGTTCAACTTATAGAGAATTTACTGGTCAATGCACTGACTTTTCATAAATAAATATTGGATGAACTATACTAAAAAAGCTAAGGGTAAGAATACTTTTCCTGAAAGATTTTTTTCATTTAATAAATATCATAAAATTTCAATTGTTAAAGAAAATTGGCATTGTTTAAGTGTAAGAAAGCATCGCATTATACAACAGTTTTATATCATAATGGTAAATGCAGGGGTCCAAGGGAATGGTATAACTTTTTTGATCAATTCCTTGTTGTAGATTTATGTCTCTTGCACGATTCAAACAGCTAGTTGCCTTTTTTTCTCATTTAAAATAAAAATAAACATTTACTCTTTATTCAGCAGATATACACTCCTATATCCAGAGAAGTAACCTAATGAACTCAAAATAAAATGTGATCATGTATACTCCTAAAGGAGTGGTACCAACGAGTTTAGTGTCTGTAATAATTAGAGGCTTTTCACAAAATTGAGTGAAAAATGATTTCCTAAAATAATAATTGTCAAGAATGACACGTACTTGATCTTGTGATTGAGTTATGACCCCCAAATCAAAAGTGGTCATATATTTCTTAGGAGGACTACAGATCTAGTGCATTAAATTATTTTTCAAACATTAGAATCTCAAGTTACTTAAATATTGAGTAAACAATACTTTTCTATTTCTAGATCAGTTTGAGCCTTGTGCTTTTCACCTTGTAACCCAAAATCAGTAGGGTCTTTTTTCCTTAGGGAGTACCAGTATACTAAGTTTGATGTCTGTAAAGCAAAGGGTTCCCCAAATTTTAAGCAGACATTATTTTTCTGTGTCAGAATAGTCTCAACCTTGAAATTTGACTTTATGAAATCAACAGGATTATCTACTCTTTTACGTTAGGGAGTACCTGGGTGTACAGCTTTCTTCAAATCCATTTCTCCTCTGATTCATGTATAAAGTTATATGATAACATTTGAAATCAGAAGAGGGGTATTCGACATGAATCCATTGTCAACAGTTGGAAGAGAAATGTTCCTCCAGTCCAATGTCAAATTTTGAAATGGGGAGAGGAACGCTCAGTGTATTAAGATTCATGGTTGTAGTGTTTTTGATAGGAATTGGTAGAGGAACGTTCCTCAAATGTACTGTTTATATAAATGTAGTATGTATTATCAGTTGAAGTTGACTGATGAATGTTTGTCATATTGTGTGTTAAAACTTGTAAATACAGTGTCAAGTTGAAAGAGGAACATTCCTCCAGCTGTGTATATAGTATCAATATTTGAAATTGGATGAGGAACGTTCCTCAAATATGTTGTGTTTAGACTAGTAAATCCAGTGTCAATAGTTTGAAGAGGAACGTTCCTCCATTGTATATGGTGTATATAGTATCAATATTTGAAATTGGAAGAGGACCGTTCCTATAATGCCTAATATTTGAAAATTCATGAGATGCCTACGGTAATAAGTAGATTTGAGAGAGGAACGTACCTCATCTCTCTGGTCATACCAAATGCACCAGAAGTTCAGAGAGAGGAACGTTCCTCAAATCTCTGCTCATAACAAATACACCAGAAGTTCAGAGAGAGGAACGTTCCTCAAATCTCTGGTCATAACAAATGCATCTGAAGTTCAGAGAGAGGAACGTTCCTCAAATCTCTGGTCATAACAAATGCATATGAAGTTCAGAGAGAGGAACGTTCCTCAAATCTCTGCTCATAACAAATGCACCATAAGTTCAGAGAGAGGAACGTTCCTCAAATGTCTGGTCATAACAAATGCATCTGAAGTTCAGAGAGAGGAACGTTCCTCAAATGTCTGGTCATAACAAATACACCAGAAGTTTAGAGAGAGGAATGTTCCTCAAATCTCTGGTCATAACAAATGCATCTGAAGTTCAGAGAGAGGAACGTTCCTCAAATCTCTGTTCATAACAAATGCATCTGAAGTGTAGAAAGAGGAACGTTCCTCAAAAGTCTAGTCATAACAAATGCATGTGAAGTGTAGAAAGAGGAACGTTCCTCAAATTATTAAAAAATCTTCAAAAAGGGAACTTGTGGAGACACATATAAGGATTTTAAGACCAAAATGACTTCAGATTGTAAACCTTGGGTGAAAAAAAGGGAATTTTGATTTTCCCTTTTATTTTTGGATTGTGTTGTTTGTAAACTATAGTTTACAATCGTAAACTATAGTTAAGAGTTGTTAATCATAGTTTCACAAATATTTATCAGATCGTTAACTATAGTTAACGGTTTGTAAACTATAGTTTACAAATTGTGAAACTGTATTTATCAGATAATCTATGTTTTGCAATCGCAAATGATTGTTTTCGGTGTTAAGTATAGTTTACGGTTGTGAAACATAGATTATCGCGTTAACTATGGTTTACAGATGTAAAATATAGATTAACGTTGTTAACTATAGTTTATAGTCCGTAAACTATAGTTTACAACCGATAAACCTAGTTTATCGACTGTGAAACTATGTTTAGCTCATTTTTGTGAATTTGGCGTGCCATAAATTTGATGTCAGTCAGTGTTGTTTATTTTCTAGGAATTTAACCTCACGGAGGATTTTAACAGAATGTCTCAAACAAGGGATTACCTAGGTAAGTGTCAAGCTAATT